ACAAGTAAGTAAGTAAGTAAGTAAGTAGGCAGGTAGATATAGGACTAGTTCGCATGAATTGTAAAAGGACGAAGAAGGATTTAGGTTAATCGGTTGCAGGTCCTAACCTCCTCCTCCTCCTTCTTTTTATTCACCTGCAACGACTCTCAAGGGCCACGAAACTGCATTGAAATCTAGCCAAGGTCTTTCAAGTTGCTCACGAAATTTGCTTGCTTCGATGCCTTTCAATCATAAAGACCCTTTTCTTTTTTATATTATAAATTAGTGGAAAATATTAATTTTTTCTAATTTCTCAAACGTTAAATAATAATAAATAAAACAACACACAATTAGTATTAATGAATTAAACGTGTTAATGTATTTTAAAGAAGAAGTAAAAGTAAATGTAGAAATACAAGAAAAAGAAAAAGAAAAATAATCGTTCTGCTATTAGAAGACAAATTTCATTGAAAGATAAATTTGAATTTAATTTTCTTTTTCTTTTCATCGATTCAATCGTTTGTACAATCTATATTCGTTAATGGAAATGGGGGGTACATCGGCACGTACTCACGTACTACACGTATTTATATAGAGCACTCGACGAGAGGAACGTGGATAGGAATAAAAATCATTGGTTCAAAAAAAAAAAAGAAAAAAAAAGAAAAGGAAATATAAAAAAGAAAAAAAAGAAGAAGAAAGGATGGAAGCCAAAAAAAAAATATATATATACATATCTCTCTCTCTCTCTCTTTTTTTCTTCTTTTACACTTACTTACTTCTTCTTCTTCTTTTCTTTTTCTTTCTTTTTCTTTTTCTTTTTTTTATTTTAATCTCGAAAGTAGGCTATATCATTACGAAAAGCAATTTCGAAAATTTCAAAAAAAAAGAAAAGGGTTTGTGCCCAGGTTGCAATAAGCGAATAATTTACACATACATATTATATTTAACGTTAACATATTAATTATTTTATCTCACAAAGGTTTATTAATATTTCTTATGATTAAAAACAATCCTTAACGCGTAAATGCTTAATTGTTAAACGAGATTTCAAAGAATTTCGAACTTGTACGGAAAGAGGATTCAAAAAACCGATAACCGAAAAAAAGAGAGAGAGAGACAGAGACAGAGAGAGAGAGAGAGAGAGAGAGAGAGAGAGAGAGAGAGATAAAATCGTTTTTCTCGAATTTTTCGACGCGTTAAATTTTCATTTGAAGTTTTTTTTTTCCTTTCTTTCTTTTTTTATCCTGCTTCTCCCTTCTTTTTGTCTTTTATATATTTTTTGTTTTGTTTTATCCTCTTTTTTTCTGGAACACGAAGAGAAGCCAGGTTTACGCTTTGTAACGGCGTCGATCGATGACACCCGGCACAGGACTCTCTCTCTCTCTCTCTTCTTTCTTTTTTTCTTTTAACTCTTTCCCCCCCTCCCCCTCCACTCCCCCAACTCCGGTGCTCCTATCCACGTCGTTGCATCGTGCAATTTTTCTTGCAACGATGCACATTTCGTTCGACGCGATAAAAAATGCAGCTTTGTAGGAAGCTCGTGTTGGGGGTTGCGTTGAGAATATGTGTATGCACACATCTACATATATATATATATTTGAAAAAGCGAAAAAGAGAGAGATATATATATATAGACGGGGAAAGTTAAAAATGTGTGTTTTAAAAAAAGACAAAATAAATATATATATACGTGTGTTTATGCATATGCATATATTTGTTAAAAAAAAAAAAAAAAAAAAAGAATAAAAAGAGAAAGAGAAAGAAAGAAAGAAAAAATAAGAGAAAGAGTTATGATATGCATGTGGTAAATAAAAAAAATAACAAAAGGAAATTGTTCAAGATAAAAAGAGTTACACGACGTATACGTATAAATAAAAAAATAACAAAAGGAAATTGTTCAAGACAGATGGAGGGGAAAAAAAATGCATGCATTCGTTGTCCTTAATTTGTGGTCTTCCCATATATATATATATATACACACACATATATATTTTTTTTTCCTATTATCCTTTCCGTTCTACTTGTAAGAAATTTCGTGGTTAGTTTGTTTTTAGTTTTGGTGCAATGCGAATTAATCGAATGAATCGGTCAAAAGGTGAATTTACCGAAAGGATATGTGCAATGAATTATTTTTAGATATGCATAAACTTGGCCCTGAAACTTTATCGCGTTCGATATTATGAATATATCGATCGGAATATTAAATTATTTTTTTTTAAAATGGGATGTGTGTTTTGCTTTTTTTTTTATTTTTGGGTTCACTCCCCCGAAACTTGTCATGTTAATTAGAATTATGATTTAAAAGTGGAAACCTAATGCATTATTCATCGTTAACATCAAGGCGTATTCTTTATCTCTGGCAAATGTTTCGTTAAAAAGTAAAGAAAAAAAAAAAAAAGAAATGGGAGATATAAGGTAATTACTTAAAAGATAAATTTGTAATAAGCAAGAGAGAGTCGCCGGGATTATTCTTCTCTCGAATACTCTCCTGCAATTTTAATTATTATTTTTATTCGTTTGTAACTACTTTCTTTTTGTTATTTAAACAAAAAAAAGAAAATTATTTCCAACGACAATTTTTATCTTAAAATCTCACACATTCGTCGTATCAGTTTTTAAATAACTTTATTTTTTTTCCACGAAACTTTTTCTTTATTATTTCTTTCTTATTTTTTTTTCCCAGAAAGAAACTTAGTTATTTAATTAGTTTAAAAAAAAAGCATACTCACATAAGAGAAAGAGAGATCTCTCATTTCGATCTGCTTTAACTCTGGTCACTGACCTACATTTCAAGTTGTTTCCCATGGGTATTTTAGATGTGTTATCCACGAATTGCTGCAAACTGCTACGTGAACTATCACGCGAGGTTACTTCGCCTTTGTTCTACTCTCTCTCTCTCTCTCCTTCATTCTTCAATTTTCTCGTTCGATCTATGATAACTCATTTTTTTTTCTTCTTTTATCTTAGACCAAGCACACACATATATATATATATATGAACGTATCTATTAATCCGTTCTTATTTTTCACCTAATTTTTTTCTCCTCTTCTTCTTTACCGTACTCTCTCTCTCTCTCTCTCTCTTATTCTTTCTTATCCTTCGAGATGACCTCGGCCTGAACTTCAACGAACGTTCTCGTTGTTAAAACGTCGTTGCTCCAATTTAAACTTCCCAGTAGGAATTTTCAACGATAGAGACATGCGATCGTTTGTCACGTTCTACATCTCTCTCTCTCTCTCTCTCTCTCTTTTTCTTTTTCTTTACTACGAAAAGATTCCTTGATTTGTTTCCTAAACGGATTTCCTATCGATCCTATCCCACGACTATTTTTATTATAGATAGTCATTTTCTGATAAAAACCCATTTCTATGTGATTTCAATCTTGTTCTCCCTTTTTTACTACAAGCATGTTTTTTTTTTTTTTTTTCTTTAAATTACTGCTTTATATACTTTTATCATTCGACAAATACGTTTGTCAACGAAATATATTTGTTGGTTTGATCGTTATCAATTTTATACAATTTCATTTAAATTGCCTAATAATTTATTATACTTTTATTACTTGTTTAGATCGACACGAATTTCGAATTTAACGTTGAAATCATTTATTTTACACGATCGAATTTATTCGAATAGAAATACATTCATGCAAGACAAATTTTGCAACTTATTTTCTTCGTACATAGGTAAAATTGGAGTAGGAGTTAAACCATCCCCCGGCAACTGTGAACAATGAATACCTGACCCGTCAAATTTTCTTTACCATTTTTTTTTTTAACCTTTTCAGATTGATTTATAACTCAAAGAAGTATTCTGCGCGTAGACAAAATATTTATCCGAATTTTTCAAAGAAATTGCAAAGATGCACAATTTACAGCATTGCATTCACAGACATTTTCTGCACTTTACATTTGATTTTCATAACTCTACAAAGTATTCTACGTGTAGAAAAAGGAGTGTACTTTAATTTAATATAAAAATCATTAAAATCCGCTTACTATAAGTATACAAAAATATTGACGCGAATTATTCAGAAAAAAAACGACATTTCTTCAAAATCCACCGTTGAAATGAAAACATTTTCATCTATCATATTACTTTTATTAAATGTTGTTTATATATACTTCCGAGAATGTTGCGCACGTATATAAAGTTAATAATGCACCTAATTAATCAAATTTAAGATTATAATTTTTTATGCAATTTATTCAATAAATCTACACTATAAAGATGTAATTATTACAATATATATGTATATATATTGTAAAAAAATAAATAAATTTAACTTGCCTACTTTGTAATTTAACACCGGTACGTACGGTAGATAAAAACGTGATAAAATACGTAAAGAAAAATTGCATTACATTATATTTGAGATTAATTGATGGAAATAAATTTTCCGGGTTCTTTTTTTTTCGTCTGTTGTTTTTTTTTTCTTTTTTTTTTCTTTTTTTACATTCTTTTACCAAAGAAAACCAAGAAATATTAGCAATTTTTCTTCTTCTTTTTTTTTTGTTTTTTTTTTCCTTTTCTTTTCTTTTTTTCCTTAACAGGGTCTGGCTTCTCTTACGAGAACGGCCCTATGTAATTTAACGAACGTCATCTAACCAAGGCTTGTTAAACTTTATATCTACCTCGGTATAGTTAATTTTTTGAACGAATACCCGGATAATCTTTCTAACCTAGTATAAAACCCAGGTTGCTACTGCTGTTACTCTTGTTATACTACTACTGCTACTACTACTACTACTACTACTACTACTATTACTATTATTATTACTGTACGTGTCTGTATATATATATTAACTGATTCTCGTCGTACATGCTTTTTATATTTTTATATATACGGAGACGTAATACCATCGTAATTTAAAAATAAAGGAAAAAGGAAAAAAAAAACAAAAAAATAAGAAAAAAGAGAGAAAGGAAGGAAAGAAAAAGAAAGAATAAAATAAAGATAGATAAAGAAGAATTGGTACATTACTGCTTTTACTGATCTCGTACTCTATCTTTTTCAGGATGATACCCGCATAATGAAGGTTGGAGATAAGAAAAGATGGATACACGACCCGAACAGTAAGTTTTTAACTTAATAAAGTAAAATTGATTATCGTGCTCTTTATTATTATTATTTTTTGATTTTATTCTTAAAAATAAAATCTAATTACGTAACACTTATAAAATTATCTTTCCAACAGTTTTGGCAGATAAAAATTTCAG